TTGCGCCGAGAGAAAAAGTAATTTACTGGAAGTAGTTTCAGACGGCAGAAATGAATAATCGTTTTAACTTCAAACAACAAGAAGTTGATTATAATAAACTTAAAAGTCCAAGCTGAATTCGTGGAATTAAATAGAGACATTTCAGAGTCGATTATGGTGATTATACGCGTTTCAGAGATGTGAATATCTTGTTTTAATTCTTGCTTATCTTCGATCTAGCAAATTAAATAAAGTATATAAGTCGAACCCAAGCACTCAGAAATCGTCTGACAGCCTACTACTTTTATCTTCTTTCAGATCTTGTCCGAGTCGACACTTTAGACTCGTTTTATTTTCCAAATTTATTCTAGCCTCTATCAATGAAATTGGGCACTTTTTAGTCGCGTTTCTTTCCATCTTATTTATAAATCTAATTTCAGCATTTAATATAGTAATAATATACTTCGGTGTTTTGGTTTATTTTCGTGTGGGTGAAGGTAGGAATTATTCTGTGCTGTCAGAGTTCGCGTGTTCATAATCATGTCACCCGTGATATGCTGGGTTTAATGGAACACCACTTAGATTACTTAACTTGATGTTTTTATTTCGATTTAACTAGAAATGCCGCTAATGCAGTGATGACTTGTACCGCCTTCCATGCTCAGTACCCGTTTTACTGCATATAAAACGCTAATTGAGTTAGATATTACAGACTGTCGATGGTAATTACCCTTTTACCGCTTGTGATTCTGGGTAAAAACGTGGACTAGCGATATACATGCAAACCGGACATTTTACTGGAAGCCTTTTCGTGTCTAGATGCTTTGTTAACATAGTTTGCAGAATTGTGGTTAATTTCGTATTACATTCAAATTTATTTCGTTTACTAGCTAAAAGAACTTGTCAAAATTATAACTGGATACAATTCGTTAACAGCACGACAGGATAATTTTTCGTTCAGATTGTTAAATAGAAAACTTCCTTTGCGTTTATATTGCTAGACTTTACAAACATTAGTTTTTGATTAAATAATGTTGATTTAAATGTAATCCTGAATGCGAATTAATTTTACAGAACTTTATTGCATTTGTAGTGTTACAAATGCAATGACAAAATTATAAAACCATCATGTATGTTTAACAATAATTCACAAATAAATTGTACTGCAAATTATTTCTTTATTACAGTTTTGAATGAACCTACTTTATCATCACTATTTCATGACTAGTGATATTAAAGTAGGTAGACTTATGGCCGTGTTAACTGCCGATAAATTAATTTTTATACAGGGTGAATATAAACTATGGAACCAAGCGGTTTTATTTTTAATCATTTGCCCCCAGAAAATAATAATTAATATAAATTAAAGTAATATAAAAAATGTGATCGTATTTTCAGAACGAAATTTTGTTGTTTTTGAGTTATGCGATTTTTTTTTGTCAAAATTGCAATATATGTGAAAAATTTTAATATAAAGCAGATAGTGGTAATCCTTAGAGTATAGCTTTTATGAAAAAAATGATTTTATACTGGGTTGCCATTTAAAAAAATATTTTTTTTGTAGAACTCAAAAACAAAAGAAAAGTTTGAAAAATTTTATTCTTGTTAAATCATCGCATTTTTATAGTACTTTATCACTCATCAATTAGTTTTTTCAGAAAATAAATAGTTTAAGCAAAAAACGTTTGGTTCCATATTTTTTATTCACCTGGTATGTAGGTATGTAGGCGTCGAAACCGTGAGGACATCAGAGCCTACGCACCTATACAGGGTGCGCCAGAACTCGCGCACCATAAAAAAATTAAGTAAGATAAGTACCAGGAACATGAAAAAAATGTTTAAAAAATTCTATCTGTCAAAAAAAATTGACATTTATTTTTTGACATTTGACATTTTTGTATGTCTATTTAATGATACTGATGATCTTGTATATGTTTTTTTTTTACAATTATTTGGTAAATGTACCAAAATTTTGCCAATAAAAGCGACAAATAACATTGAAAAGAGTTACAATTTAGGATACAGCTTCCTTGATTCCTCTTCTAATAGACTGTAGCAAAAAAAATTGAAAACTATTTTCCAACAGAAGTAAATAGAGCCAAAGTGCAAAATTTAAACTCTCATAACTTCGAAATTTTTATAAATAGAATTATTTTTTTCTGAGGCGCGAGTTCTAGCGCTCCCTGTTTATGGGCCTTTTTTAATGTCGATGATGGGCCTTATTTGGGGCTAGGAGGCTCCAAAAAAGGCTCTTTATAATATTTTCTGTTCATGGTAAAAACATGTAGAAAAATTAACAAAGCAGGCATTTTTGTGGTACACATCATTGTTAAACGAAAGTTCAAATTACAGTTTTAATAATAAATCCAAACTTTTGCATATTTAAAAAATTATATAAACAATCGTAAAAATTAAGTGGGTCTATAATTACCTTAATTATTTTAACGTTTTAATAATGTCACACTCGCAATTGTCAAACAGATTTTGATAAAATATATTTTTGTTTTACGAATCTTAAAATTAAAAGTCTAAACTTTGATATTGTGTCTCTACAGAAAATGTCAAAATCTGGCGCCTATAAATTCTTCATGTAAGATTGTTGTACATTGTAAATTACCCCAGCACAAACACATGATTCGTCTTATGTTTTCATTTATAAATAAAAAACAATATAAACAAAATTATTTATTTTAAGATTTTTTGTGAAAGTTTTTTTAAGTTTAAAAAACGAGCGCAGCTAGTGTCATATGTAATATATACGTGGAAGTTGCATGAGATATTGAAAATCTTTATTTCCACGTTAAGAGACTGACTTCTTATTTTCCTGGCAGCAACACAATAAAAAAAAGAAAATTAAAAAGGTTGAAGTTGTAGAAATTAATTCATTTCAAAATAAAACATTAAAACTCTGAATACCTACCACCTACCTACTACTAATTAAGAAGCTGTGGGTAATTTTTTACAACTCTCACAGTTGAAAGCCAGAAGCTTCATCTTTATGGTGTTTAAAAGAGAAGGCGTGTCCATCAGAAGACGACTCATGAATAACTACTTCAACTTAATTACCAATTTAAAACAGTTGAAAGTAATTAAACAGCCGACAGTTCAATACAACTACACAAATGAATTAATTAAATAAATTGATAATTTTCAGTATACAGCAATTACGAAAACACTCTTTCAATTAAGTTTGCCATTACTATATGATGTGATTGCATAATTAAGTCCTTGATAGGTATAATTGTGATTATTCCATCTCCTAAAAATTTACTTCAATTCCTGAAACTATTACCTACCTATATTAACTAAATCAGGGCTGTACCCAAGAGGGAAAATTAGGGGGTTCAAACCCCCCTCCCCC